CATATTTATGTTAAACACATTCAAGATATTGTGCTGCCAAAAATTAATACAATTAGAAAATTAAATGCAGAGATCTATTCCTCTTAAAACAGATGCATCACTAATACTGTGCTTTACAATTGATTTCATGTCATTGAAGGAGACCAATGAATAAAGAAAACTCTCAAGCTTCTTCTATACCTTCTGGTCACTAGGCTTGTTTGAACATACCTTTCAGAACATAAAGCAGGAATATGCATTTCTTTTCTTTGTATACCAAATTCAAGGGTTCAGTGCAATCAGATCATAGAATTGTTTAAAGTGGAAACGACCTTTAAGATCACTGAAGCCAACCATTAACCCAGCTCTTTCCTCTACCTCCCTAAAAATCTAGAGGCCACTTATGGAGAGCACAAAACACTTTTGTTATAACCACTACTTTAAAAAAGGTATGTAGAACTAGTAATTATCAGATTATGAGAGTGCTCACTGTGCTGCCTAGATTTTAAATACAGTAGCTACTCTTTGGATTTCATTTATATTGCACATTTGAAGAGAAAGCTAGTGTGCTTTATTACCAGTTAATTAACAGTTAATGATGAAGTAGGTAGGTGAAAACACTGGTAAAAACTTCAAAGTACTTTAATTTTAAAGATGGTATCTCACAGCAACATGTGCAATCCCCATGAATCTGATTTATATCTAAAAACTTGAACAGTATTTTTCAAAAGGACCACTATTCTTTTTATGCTATGCTGCAAAAGTTTTAACATCATCCAATTCCTGTAATTCAATAAATTCCATTGAATTATTTCAGGGAAACAGCAAGGAGTTATGCCTAACCTGTGAATTGATGTAGGCAGAGCATAAATGCTTTGTGATTGATATAACACAGTGATTTCTGAGGAATTCCACAAGACACCGGTTCAGAATAAGAAAGAATAAGCAAATGATGCTTAAAAATAAGTAGATAGGCAACCTAAAACAGGTTTAATTTAATACCAAGTGTTTCCATTAGCAATGAAATAGTTAAATATTTCAAAAATGCACTGAACTCTTATTCTGTACCACATTCAAGATCTAATCATGTAAACGAGCATTTCTCCACTCTCTTCTGCTCAGATATTCTAGTGATGTTTTAAAGATGACATTTAGCAAATCCTCGAATTTTAACTGAGAAGCTCAGTGCAGAGCTAAAGAATCTTTTCACCTGCCCATCCAGATTCATATGCACCATTTCCCATCACAACAAGACAGCATACTGAACAGGATTATTTCAAAAGCAAAATACTAAGAAGGGCTCTGTTTTGCTCAGGGAGCAGCTGAAAAGCACATCATCTTTCCTTCAATATCAAGGCAAAATCCTGAGAAGGAAAAATTTTATTTGCAATAAAATAATTGTAATTAGTTGAAACATCCGAGTTGCTCAAATTAGTGTAATCCCGAAAATATTTCAGTGCCACTGTTAGTTATACTTAATACTCCCAAGAACACATACAGGTGGTTTTATTGTCACAAAAAATAAGACAAAACAGTAAGTTAATCATGTAGCACTTTGCACTTTTGTGCAACAGCCTCAAGGGACAGGGAAGCAGAGCCTCTGCCCTCCTTCAGGTGTGCTCCTCAACAGCAGCTTTCCCAAAGCAGTAATTCAAACAGTGAACAGACCATTTCTGTGGCATTAATTTCAGCCTCAACACATCCATTCAGAGCCTGCTTGCTAGAAGTACAAGTGTCATGGTCAAGGACACACTTTAAGAATACGTATCTGTCCTTGGCTACGTTCTCAGGCTAATTTTTGAAGGTCTTGCTTTGCACCTTTCCCAACCCTCCCAACTTCTCAATTTTTCAGTTATACCAAACAAATCAATGCTCTGAGGAAAGTGTGGTATCATCTCTTAAATTCTCTGCCACAGCCCAGTGGATAAATGTTTCTGAGGGCTCCCCCAATACAATCACCATTTTTTCACTCGTGCCTTACAATGCACTCTGCTGAACAGCCACATCCTGATGCCCTTTGATCACATGTACAAAACCAGTCAAAATCAAGGATGAAACTCCAGGGGGGTCAGACAGGAAACACAAACCTGGAAATAATTTCCTAAGCATCACCTAAGAGTGATCATCCTAAGAGAATCAAGGTTTGGGAAGGTTTTTTTGTAGCCTAGCTAGTTTCAGTGACTTTTGCCACATGGATGGAGTTCCACTGTGGCATCACTATGGCTACTTGAAGACATTTGCCACAAGGCTTACACCAAAGGCCAGGACCTCCTTCTGACTTGTTTCTGTTACCATATGCAGTCAGCACACAAAAACCCCACATAACTTATCTGCAGTGTTATCTCAGTCTGAGTGTGCAGACGCAACCCAGTGACATACACAGATTTCATACTGGGCCAGACACACACACGAACAAAAGCACATTATTTCTAAAGATCTCTCCTACTCCCAACAAACACAGTAAGGGTAATTGTTTAAACTAGCTGTAAGTTTCCTTAACATAGTCATTTACAAAAACAACTGGTCAATTTCACCTTTTTATTTACAAACAGACACGGAAACATGTTTGAAAGATCCATGTGACCTGTCACAGCAATTCAAAGGTAACAAAGCATAACCTAGGAAAGCACACCAAAGTCTTTCCTAAATTTCCTAAGATGAAAAACTGCAGTCTTTACAAACAGTATTTTGGTCCATTCAATGAGATTATCTGGCTCTCCCATTGTGTACGCTTCCCCCATCTCCACATCTTCTTTAAATACAAAGCAATATAAGCACCCAGGATCTTGTCTTCTGCAAGGCCCAAATATTGTCGTACCTATGACAGTGATCAAGAACCAGAACCTCTAAATTAACATTTTTCATTGATAGAGACAACATTACAACAGAAACCTAAATAAGACATAGCCATGGTTGACTGTCACTGTTAAACAATGCAGGAAAGAATCATTTCCCTGACCCTCCGGAGGGATCCTCACCTGCTGTCACGGAGAACATGGCACTGATCCTGGGAAGCCACAAGGGGGGAACAGCTTGGGTTTTCAGAGAGGAAGCAACACAGCGTTACTGACAGTGGCACTTGCACAAAGGGCTCCACTACAAGAAGTGACAGTGCCCAGCCTTGTTAATTTAATTTTCTCTCTGACTAAGTTAGAAAGATGATAAGCAGAAACATGAAGCAAAGGAACCACCCTTCTGCTTTGGACAGCCTCGCTATGGAAAGCTGCATTTGAAAAGCTGTACGGCACCATTAAATTTTTACATTTTTATCTAAAAACATTCAACTTCACAGGATCCCTCCAGCTGCAGCTGCAACATTCAAAAATAAAATTTTACACTTATTTCCCTGAAGGTGGTATTTCAAACCCCAAATCTAGGTAAACTGATCACAAAATAGCAAAACTGCACCCAAAGACATTAGAATTTCTGGTGGAGTGGGTTTTCTGATTGGTTTTGTTAGTTGGGGGTTTTTTTTGTGTTTTGGGTTCCTTTTTTTTAAGGAAGATATTAAATACAAAGACATTGCACATTTTTAAGAATTACATCCAACTATCTGACATTTTTCCCATGTGGAGTTTAATTTTAAAATACATTTCACAGGAAAGTCTAACTTCTTTCATATTTAGATGTTTGAAAATACTGCTGACTTGGTTGCAGGGCAAAAAATCACTTGTAATTTCCAAAAATCTGTGCTCATATTTGAACATTTCCTTAAATTCAATTCAGTCACCACCAGCGTCCACACCTTTACCCTTCACCTTTCATCTATTATTCTTCATGCCCTAAACAGAACTTCTGTCTCATTAGTAAAAACATCCAAACCCAGACGCTGACTGCAAACTGGTTTTCAATTCAATCTGTCCATTTCACTCTTGTCCTCTCGCACATTCCACGTCCTGTTTGTTTATTTTCATGAGCTTAAGATATGTTTCACTTTGTGAAGTTCCCAGCCTAAAAGCACTGCAAAAATAGCTGGTGTCTCAATGCTTCCTTAATAAAAAACAATTATTTGTTCCATAGCTTAATTCCTTCCTGCTTCCCTGAAACTGTTAACCAGGGAGTAGATGTTAAGAGCACACTGCATCCACAAGGTGACATCCAGTAATTGGCCTAAAAGAGGATCCTCTATCAATAAGAGTCAGAAACCTTTATGTTATAGGTCAAGGGCACAAGATTTTCAATCGAGGGCACTGAAAGTTCAGGGAAAGCACGCCTTTTCTCACCTTTCCCTCCCCTTTAAGCTACTTTCTAATAATGAGAAAGTATTCAGTTCAAAAAATTCTGGGTGTGCCAAGCACCACCATTCACAGGCATTTTAAATAACTGCTCACACTGAGGCTCGATTACAAACACTCCGCATAGCCTAAAACACACAGTACAATTCTGACAGAATCAAAATTTCAGTATCACAAATGGCATTTCATTGTCCAGCTCAGGTTAAGTATCTTTTCCATCTTCGAGGCTGGCAGTATAAACAGCAATACACAAGTGGCTTAGAATTTTAATATGTTGCTAAATAACGAAAGTTATTTCAGTGCTTTATAACAGCCACTTTAAATACACAACAACGGCAATAAACCACCCCAGTTTCAGCGAAAAAATCCCAACCACACTCGTCCACGATGATTTAAAGACAGAAATGTAAAGATAAGTACAGAAGAGGTTGCACAATAACACATGATCTTCCCTATCACATGCTTGGCAGCGCGCTCGCTGCCCGGCGATACCCGGTCAGACCCCGGGGCACTCCGGCCGCCCGGGGCAGCGCCGGACACCCCCGGCACGGGGCTCCGGCCCAACAGCCGGGGCCATCCGGGGCTCCCGGAGCCCGGCCGGAGCCCACGGGGAGCGGCGGCAGCGGGAGCCGGCGGAGCCTCTCCCCCATTCAATCCCCGCTCGCTGCCCGCCCTGCCCAGCGGCGGCGGCCGCGGCACCGGGCACGGCGGGGAGGCGGCCCCGGGCTGGAGTCCCCGGCAGGACCCGCGCTCCCGGCGCCCCCTCCGCGACAGCCCCGCACTTACGCTCGAAGTCGGAGTCGGACTCGTCGTCGCCGCGGTCGGGCTCCTCGTCGCCGTTGGACTCCGTCTGCATGGGCTCCCCGTCGAAGCTGACCACCCTGCGGCCACCGCCCGCCTCCTGGTCGCGGGCATCCCGCAGGCGGGCGAAGTACTCGGCGGCGAAGCCCAGCAGGTCGGACGGCCGGTGCCGCAGCACCTCCACCGTGTAGCCCTGCAGCAGCTCGGTGAGGCCCGGCGGGATCTCGATGCTCATGGTGCCGGACACCCGGGAGGCCGCCTCGCCTCCCTGCCTCCCACCCTCCCTGCGTCCGTCCGCCCTTCCCCGCGTCCGCGGCCGGCGGTGCCGGTGGCGGTGGCGGTGGCGGTGCGGGCTCAGGGCCTCCCAGACGGGCGCGGACCGACTCCCGCCGCTCCGGTCACACGAGCCGCGGGGCGCGGAGGGGAGGGACGGGACGGGGCGGGAGCGGCCCCGAGGCGCAGGCGCGGAGCGGGCGCGGGAGCGGGCGCGGGGCTGCGGCCGCGCGTGCGCGGGGGCGGGGGGGCTCATGCGTCACGGAGGGGCATGGCGGGGCCGGGGCGGGAGCGGGCACCGGGAGCGGGCACCGGGCACGGGGAGCGGGGGAGAGTCGGCAGGGATGGGACGGGTCGCTGCGTGCGTGCCTGGATGGTTCCGCTCTCTGGAAAACTGATGGGCGCCCGCCGCTCTGCGCCCGCCGCAGTCGTTAAACCCCGGTCACGGCGGATTGGGCGGTGTTGGGAGAGCTCCGGGCCACAGCTGGCGGCGGGCTGTGGGGAGGGCGCAGGTCAGGCGGGCGCCTCCCGGCCGTCGCTGCTGCGTCTTTATTTTTCTCTGGCTTCACATCAGTGCCCCCGTACGCTCATTCCTTGTCAGAATCACAGAACAATTAGGCTGGAAAAGACCTCTGAGATCAGTGAGTTCAGCTTTGACCAAACACCGCCGTGTCTAGACCACGACACCGAGTACCACATCCTTTAATCCTTAACCACGTCCAGGGACGGTGACTCCATCCCTGGGCAGCCTGTTCCGATATCTAGTCACCCTTTCTGTGAAAGAATTCCACCTGATGTCCAACCTAAACCTCCCCTGGCACAGCTTGAGGCCACGTCCTCTTGTCCTTTTGTCGGTGTCATGGGAGAAGAGACCAATCCTCACCTGGCTACACTCGCAGGTATACTGGAGAGCAATAAGGTCCCCCTCGAGCTTCCTTTTCTCCACGCTAAACACCCCCAGCTCCCTGAGCTTCTCCTCACCAGATTTGTGTTCCAGACCCTTCCTCAGCTCCGGTCCCTTCTCTGGGTCACTCCAGCACCTCAATGTCCTTCCTGAACTGAGGGGCCCAGAACCAGACACAGCAGTCAAAAATTCAAAGCCACTTGTATATTGCCTCACCAGTGCCAGGGACAGAGGTTCTCCTTCCTCACGGAGCATGTGAGGGTGTTCCAAAGCTCCCACAGCAGCAGGAGAATGAGGGCGTTTTGACCTTGATTGGATCCAATCGAACTTCCATCCAGTTCTTGGTTGGAGTTAGATTTAGGACCTATGACCCCCAGGTTCTTGTCAGAATTATGTCATTAGAGAACAATTAAGCCAGTGCAAGGTCTTCACACCTTTTGGCAAACACTGAATAGAGCCATGATATAGTCTGAAAGGGTGGCAATAGTATGGATCTGATAATAATAAAGAGTTACAGATAAGAATTGCAGACCTAAAGGTCACCTAGTTCCAAACCCTCTGCCGTGATCAGGAACACCTTCCACTAGACCAGGTTGCTCCAGGCCCCATCCAACCTGGCCTTGAACACTTCCAGGCATGGAGCATCCACAGCTCTGTGTCACTGCCTCATCACCCACATCACTGCCGATACACATGAGCTTTGGAGATACCCATTGAAATGCCCTTAACTGTGCTTTATTCAGATTTTTGCTTGTGCTTGTTGTACAGAACCTGTTATCTGTGTGTACAAGGGAGGTTTGGCAGATGCCCAGGGGCTGCGTGGAGTGGAGCCATCAGCCCTTAAGGTTTGACGTTGCTGGGAAGCTCCTTGTGGGACAAAACAGACCTGTGCAAACATGACTCAAGGAGAATACGGATGTTGGCTTAGTGACACCGCTGCGTGTTGTCACTGTACATATTTTTATTTCATTCTTCTGTTTCAACAATAAAACAGCAGAAATCAACTCATTCTCAAAATATAAAATTTCACTTAGAAGCCCAGAATTGGCTGAGGCGGCGTGCTGTGTGTTTTGGTTTCGTTTGCTTGTGTGCCAAAGAGTCCCCTCGCTCATCCAGATGGTTCTCACTGCACTCCCAGAGAAATGCAGCCTGTGCATCCCTGCTGCATGGAGGGCACTGTGGCAGTGCCAGAGCACCACATCCAGGGCTTTTCCTGGTGGTGCTCACTGAGGGAGGCCACTTGGAAATCTCATGGCACATAAAGGTGTTCTTTGTAATGCAGCTCCCATATTTTCATACACAGTAAGACTAAATTGTTCATCCATACAAAGTGAAAAATTTTTCAAAAAGCACAGAAGGTAGATTTGCCACATCTCAGCAGTTTATCCAAAGATTTTGTATGAAGTTGTTGCTCTTAATTTCTGTTACTCTACTGCCTTTTTCAAAAGATAATTGATACTGATTTTTTGTTTGCCATTCCTACCATTATTATCTGTCTGATGATCTCAAACATTACAAGAGCACATCTCACTGCTCAATATATGTACTTTAGCTATTGACACAATTGGTACAGAGAAAAATTCTCATCAATGAGAATGAGAACTAACTATGGTTAGTCCCCCCAAAAAATTAGGATTTCTGACAAGATCTTCCCTTTGCTGATTGGGTGCTGAAGATATTGCTGGTGAGGAAGAGGTAAAAATGAAATTTTAAAAATTCTGTAAAAATAGTAAAACAAAATATCAGTAAAAAGCAAGAAAGTTCAAAGAAAGAAAGGGACAGTCTAATTCCAATGGAGTACACTTATTTTTCTTTCCCACTTTTTTGCACAACAGCCTTACAATTGCCTGCTTTTGGCATTAGTCAGCTCTTGTATTAACTTTTAATGTTTGTTGATAATTTTGTGTCATTTGTGTCTGTGAATATTAATCTAGTTATTTATTTGAAAGAAAAGTGTTACCAGTAAATATTGTTAAGGCTCTGAAGGGCTACATTGTACTGGCCTTCTGATATTTATATGTCCACACACAGCTAATCAGCTTCAGGGGAAAGTAAAGAGCACAGCTCTGTTTATTCTCTTCCTGAAGGTCAACGGACAAAATCAAAAGCATCCAAGGTCACACAAAGTGCATTTTCAAGTTGATTTACGCCACAGTTTATCCTGTTTCTTTATATACCTTTTTTTCTTTTTGGTAAGCATCAGAACTGAAGGCACAAATATGCAAGAAGCTTGTGGGCAATGAAGTTAATTGTTACAGTGCCTGCTGTGCATTCAGAGAGCACATCATCTGCTTTCTTTCTCCCTGAATTTGCATAACTTTTTAAATTATTACTATAATAAGCATTCACATTAAAAGAATGTTAGAAAATAAATTAGAAAATGCACTTGCAGCCTTAATTTGATCCCCTTTATAATAACATTTTTAATTCAGGCAGCATGACCAATGCAATTTCTTTCCTCTGGCTTCATGGCATGTTCAGCAGCCAGTATGGAGTTAGATAAGACTTGTGTAGCTGATGAAGCTGGTCCCCACAGCATTCCTATAAAAAAAATATATATATCTTTCAGTATATAGTTGTCCTAATAATTTCTTAGTGGCTAAAAGCTGTTCCCATATATACCACATGCCTGTGCTCCCAAATGGTGAAGTCTCTTCCCTTCACTCTGCCTGTTCTACCCAGACTTTGTGACTTTGATGTGTCATTAGTGAAGCTGTTGTGAAGCTCCAGTGCTTGTCCTGCTCAGGCAGGAGCTGCAAAGTTGCCAGCAGCAAAAGCAAAATGGTCTGTGTAGTCTTTCACTGGGGAAAAATAATCAGATTAAACTTCCCTACTGGCTCCTTAAAAAGTAAAATAAATCCTTTTATAACGAGTAATAATTCACTTCTCATAAACCTGTCAGCACCAGCCAGAGCTCAGACACTATATAAACATATGTACATCTTGGATTAATTACACTTTCCTTCAAATTCCATACAAGGATCATGCAAGAAAACACTAAATATTCTGATGACAGTTTTTAGTGAACACAGCCTCACGTTTTCCACATGCCCCTGGTGCTGAAGCCAGCAACCAAGGTTTGTCCCAGCAGCAAGTTCCAGAAGTTAAATACCTGTTAGATAAAGCAGCACTTCTTTTTCTAAGATCTGTAGCACTCTTCCCAGATTTACCAAATTCCTCCTACTCCTGGTATTGCAGGATTTGGCAAATTATATTTCTGCCTGTGTTTTATTTGCTACTTTGTGATTTTGTAAACCTCAGTCTTACCTCAGCCCTCTCAAAATTAAGGTCTGACAGTCCTGCTGGTCTCTCCTCCAAAAGCAGCTGCTTCGCCAGGATGACATGAAATGCTCCTTTCTGAGGCTGCTCAGCTTCTCCGTGCCTTTCATGAGCTCTGTGTGCAGTTCTGTCTCCACAGCCCAAAACGTGGGCTCACCCTGGTTTTACACAGCAGGAAAATGGCTCTGTCTGTTTTGTCCTCCAACACTTTTCCTTAGATTTTTTTGTCTGCCACATCATTATGAACTGAATTTATCCAGTCTTCATTTTAAGATATAAAGAGATTTAAAAACTCCCATTTCCCTTGCTCTGTTGCTCCCATAGCTGACCACCCCCATTGTAAAAAACATGCTGAGTTTTGCATTTTAAGTTTTCTATGTTTAACATTCAAATGTTTTTCTACCCACTGCTCTCTCCAGTTGCTGCAAATGTGCATAAACATCATGTAACTTTGTGCACAATGTACACAAACTTTCTGAGTTTGCATTTTACCAGGAGTAAAAGTAACAAACAAAAGTGATCCTGCCCTTAAAAACCAGGATGTGGAGACCCTTGAACACCATGTGCTAGATGAAACTGCTGCTCCTGCCTCTCTGTGGTTCCTGCTCAGGAAAGTGCTAAACCTCAGAAACCAAACTTAGGTGCTCTAAGCAGTAGGTTTGCTTGTGACAGTAAGCAAGATTTAGTCTGTATTTTGTTAGCCTTTAGAGTGAATAGCTTGAGTACTCTATACTTCAGCAAATCATGTGGGACTATCAATAGTAGAAAGACAGGAGAAAAAAAGATCAACCTTTTTTTTTCAATAAATACATATAAATACTTGTGTCAGCTTGAAATTTGTTACCTTGACACTACCATTAGTCCGTCAAAAATATTTTGGATAATTCTTAGAAAGATACCTTGCTG